GCTGTTGGACTTTTGCTCCGTTCCGTTTCGTTTCGTTTCAGTTTCAGTTTCGGCCTCTCATTCCCCCTGATTTTGCTTATGCGAATTTAATTTACCGAAAGTGAGAAATGGACACGGAACCGGGGCCCCATTCGGCAGTCGTCGTCGCATCCTTCACGCGACTGTCATTAGCGATAGAGATACGTTAATTGTGTGTATCTGTAGATAGATACATATGTTTGTACATCCAAAGAAATATATATACATATATATACTTCATACCCATTCAGATCTACTGTCTGTTTGCTTAATGGCAACTGATTACTGCCAAATGTCCATTGTCCACAATTGCAAGACCCGAAAACATAATTTGTTTTCAAATATAATACGAGTATCTGTTATTTTTTCTGTCTATTGTCTGTTTGTGGGTAAATGCGAGTGCGTGCTCTCGTGATTGCTCGATTTGGGTTGGGTTACGTAAGGCCATTTGCGGTGTCGATGTTTATGTTTGTCTCCCATAATCAGCAGAGAGAAAGCATAGCGAATAAAAGAGTCGGCTGAAGATTCGACGATAATTGGGCAAGGCTGCAAAGCCACCTCCCCATTACAGAATCGAACAGTAGATTATTTAATACAGGTAGAACTTTTTTGCAAAATAAATTTGCTTGCCTCTGTATCCTGTATATCGATCGAACATCAATCATCAAACCATATGCTGAACCAACTCTACTCGGTATCCTTTTTTGTTGGCCAAAAGTCATACAAAATGAATGAAATCAATTTTCCAGCATCAAAATGTGAGCCCTCCAGTCCACACCTTTGCCTTATCGTCTTTCCTTCGGGGCCATTTCACAAAGCACTTGGGCCAACTGGATATTTTCTGCATCAGAGCCGTGTCCAAATATGGCCCTTATTGCCTTCCCCTTGCCCCGTGCACCCACATTTATCTCACTATTCCATTTCCCCTGCCCTCGTCGGGGGCAACGAAGCTTGGCTTCAATCCGTTTGACATTTTCCACAAATTTTGGGCATTTTTTCTGGTTGTTTCCAGCTACCAGCCGACAACTCGTTTCACTCGCTCACCTGTAGCCGTGCCCCACTGGATGCTATCCTACCATAGTTCATTGTTGTTTCTTTTTCTGTGTTCCCTGGTGCTGGTGCACCAGAGAGATTGAGAGACAGAGAGGGAGAGCTACATTCCGATGCTAATTCTAATTAAGCGCATCTGATGAAGTAAACGTGTCCCGAGTTTTTACTTCATAAAGAAAACAACCAAACAAATTCCCAAACACACAACGAAACGAAACAAGACGAATGTAAGGGAGAGTAAAGGAAAATAAAAGGAATGAATCAACGGGGAGAGGATTGAGAGGATTGAGAGGAGTGGGGATGAAGCAAAACCCTCCCAGAGCTGAGCACAGATAAAATTTCAACGCGCTCTCATTAAAAACTTTTGGAAAGGCTATAAAAAAAGCCCGTCCACACGATTGGACACACCAAGATACCCATTGATCGGTTTATATACATATCCAGAGGCACTGCTCCATCATTGATCCATGGGATGTGAACGTCAATCCATGCGGGCACTTGTATTTATTTATAATTTATAATAATGACACTACCACATAGAGGTTAACATCCAGCTTATGGATTCTGATGGCAGCCACGATTTGAATATACCCAAAGTAATCTTCGAGTACCGAGTAAAACACACACACTTTAAGGATCTTTGGGGAACAGGGGGGCATGCCCAGAAAATGAATAAATAAAATAAAAATCTGCAAGAGAGATAGACGCCGGGCGGAGGAAAATTCATTGTCATTGTCAAAATAAATTTTTCTTTTGAAATCCATTAAAGGTTTCATTCCAAGCGAAATTGTTAGAAAAAGTGCAAAGCCAAAAACAGGAGGCGGGCAAGCCTCCCACAAACTCAAACTCAAAACCAAAACAGAAACCTAACCGAACAGAACCGAATGGAGAATGGCCATAACGGGGAGGAGGGTAGGGGACGAGCGGAGCCATCCACAGACGAAGAACAAGAAGGGAACACAACAAAAATTGAAATTATTACAAAACTTTTGTGATTATCTCGGTTGCCTTCGCCGGACCCGTGGAGGACCCTGCCCATTCGACGATTCTTTTGACAACGCTGAAAAGAAAAAGTTAAATTTGTTTCGCCCAATAACTGTCAATGCGGAAAGCGTTTGGGCGTGGCCATTCGCTCGATTTCCCGGACAATTGTTGCGCCAACAGCGGCAGCAGCCGAGATCGAAGGCGGAATAAGGACTCACGCTGAAATACAACCGAGAAGCCGGAACGAAAAATACCCTCAAAAATACCAAGGATCCTTGCAAGGAATAAATGCTACAGAAATCACTTACCCACATTACCCAAATCGTTTTCAAGACTAGATCAATTAATGAACAAGGTTGGCAAAGAGACGTGGCATTAATCAGTTTTGTTTATGGAAACGCAACCAACATTTTTGCAGTGCGTCACAAGCTGAAGCCGCATGTCGTAATACCCTCTGGCATGTGGCTATGCGGAGAAAGCATCAGCCTCAGTCCATGGCCTTGCCGCCGCCTGTCAGTCGCGGAGCAGCAGCCGGACCTCCACACCCCACGACACACCGCCACCCGATAAAGCAAGCCACTTAATATAGAGATTTATGCTAATCAAGCAAAAAGTATTTGCCGAGAGGGGTCTTCGTCATTCGGCAGCGTCTCAGAGTAGACCAAGTCCAAGAGATGCTCAAATGGAATGGAATGGAACGGAATGGACTCGCTTCGAGTGGTGTGTGTGTGTGTGTGTGTGTGGTCTTTCCTCGCTCGTCATACTAAATGAAAGTGAAAATTCTTATGTAATATGCTAATATTTTCTTGGCCCGCCTTCTGCTGCTTCTTCTGTGTGGATTACGAGAGATTTTTTTATAAGTTTAGATACATGGAAAGGGACTGAAGAAAGCCAAACAAGTGTTGTTTTTAATACCCTTTTTTGCATAGAGTACTACAGCAGTATGGCAGCCGTTTGCTCCACGGATATAGATTCTCAGACGCTTTCAATTAATAAACATATTGGGATCATTTTTTTAAGCATTTATTTGTGTATTCCAAGGCAGCACATTGTCCGTTTCTGTGCTGCTTTCTTCTTCGATTTGTGTGGTTTACAATTGCAATATACATACATTTATCTGGTGTCGAATTCTGTGTAGTGTAGCGTGGTGTCACCTCTGCATCTCATTTTGTGTGTTTGCTGCTTCTCCCCATGACATTTTCTTTGGCACTAAGCTTCTGTGTGTTTTTTTTCTTCAGTGTTGCAGTGTAGATGCCGCCGCCAGTTGCCGCATGTTCTTTTATGCTGAATTGATATACTACGACTATTGGTAACTGAATATACAAATTTGGTCTTTACGTCTCTTGATCGTCATCCAGCGGCTGATGAGTACCACGCCAGCCTCACCCACATTTACGGCCAGGGCATGCATTTCGTCGTCCAAGTCCACAATGATATTCTCCAGACATTCCATATTCATCACCGGCTGCTTGTTTATGGCCCTCTCCAGTTCCATATTCAGAACCTGGATTATCTTGTCGAGGTCCTCGACAAACTCTAAGACCCACTGGAGCGGTATATTATCGCTCCCTTTGGCGCTAGTGGTCTCCGGCTTTTCTAGCATTTTCCAGTTCTAAAACGAAACCCAAAATTTGTTTGAAAGTTTAGTGCAAAAATTGGCGAAAACTTGTGTACTATTAACTTAGAAAAGAGCTTCTGCTGCTTTAGGATCTGCTTAGCACTAAATTTGAGGACTGCTTATCACCGTATAACACAAATTTCATGGCAACTCTTGAATGGAAAGAAAGTTTGACAGAGCAGAGTATCCAAAGGTTGCTTGTTTCTTATTCTTTTTGAATTAGTTTTGGCATTCATTGCTGTTGCGTGTCTTTCGCTCTAAATTTATGCACGAACTTTGGCTTAAACCAACCAATTGACATTTCAATGTGGCTGTGAATTAGCGGTGGAAGCCATCGACATGTGGAGACAACGATATTTCGGCTGGCATTTTCCATATTCATGTTTGATATATTTTATTCTATGTATTTAATAGAGAGTTTTATACAAAGCTCGCATGCGTAAGCGAGGCATCTTCTGCCACTCTCTTCAGCGTTTAACCCGATTATTTATCCATCAATATATTTATAGAAATACAAAAAAAATATCAAGCTTGCATAGATGTTAACTTTGATGTTTCTTCCACCTCTCCACCTCTGAATGGAAAGTTGTATGCTCGCAATATATTTATTTGCTATTTTTGTGCTGTTGGTATTTAAATAATTTATTAATGCACATAATTTTGGGATTAGATAATGCGAGAAGCTATGTGGTTGTGTGTGCATTCGAGCATCGCTGGTATCTGCGTATTAAAAATCAATTATTCTGTGGAGAAAACATTGTTTATGCTAATCGCATGTCAGCCAGCGCGATAGAGAGCGAGAGCCAATTGATAAATGAGCCACGAAAAGCAGGTGGCAGGTTTTAATATAAGACCAGAGCCAATGCAGCCTTACTTTAGGGATGTCTGAGTGGAAGTTCTGATAATGCTTTTTAATTAATGCTCTGTAACTGTCTCTGGTGCCTTTTAATTATTTTTAGTACGCGAAAAAACTGTGACATTTGAAGCCAATAAAGGTCCCATTGCTCTTTACATGTCATACATTTGCATACAATGCATTGTGTGATGCAGTTTCAGTTGACTTTTTGACCACTGAAGGGTGCCATTCGCAATGGTATTTACAGGTAACAGGACCCATCTTAATGGGATTATGTGTAGAGGAAAGGGAAATAAATACAGGGCGATGCTGTTTCCATTGGTCCGAATCAGTCAGCAACAATCGGTTTGGTATTTTAAAATAATTTACTTAATTATATTTAGCGTCGAATGGAATTAAAAGCCATGCCATGGATTGCTTTTAAATACATGTAAAATAGTTTGTTGTGTAACTACATAAAGCATCTGTGGTGGGGGCTTCAGTAGGGATTATTGCAGCAGCAGTTCTTGATGAGGGCATGCTCGTAGCAGGATTTGGCATACAGCAGGGAGCAGTCGTAGTAGGAGCACTGCGGCGGTCTCAACTGTGGGGCAGATGCTGCAGGAAAAAGGGTTGAAAAATACGAATTGGGTTTTAAATGCATTAAGTGTGGTGGCAAATTGAATGAAATTAATAAATGCATCAAGCGTGGCTGGGGAAAACCCCATACATAAATAATGTCGCAGCAGACGAGAGTGCTCGGACTGGGTGTGACGCGTTCCCTGATTAATTACCTGGAAAATCGCAGCAGCAAGAGTCATGCACCATCTTGTGGGAGCAATAGCTGTACACCGAAGAGTCGCAGAGCGGACAGCTCCCGCCGCCACCTCCAGGCTGTTGTGGTGGTCCCCAGGGAGGAATTGGTCCGGGTCCAGGTGCAGGTCCGATACCCGGACCAAAGCCATTCCCAAAGCCATTCTGGCCACCAAATTGACGTGCTAAATTATAGAAAAAGTGTCCAAGAAATGTTGTAGATCTTTCGAGTTGTCAGCACTCACCTGCCGTGTCCTGCTTGGCCACAACCATGCCCATCAGCAGGGCCAAAAGCATTGCCACTAGCACAGGGCCCACACAGCGTATGCCGAACATATTTCTTATGATCCTTCGTTTGCTCTTCGCTCTTTCGTGTTTGGTGTTTGGTGTTTGGTGTTTGGTGTTGCTGCTGCTGGGGCTGCCGTGCCGCGACTGCAGTCGATGAAACTTTTATACAGCCACGATCGATTGGTCCGTCCGGTTCGGCTTTCGCTTTCAATTTTTGTGACAAATTCATAAATAATTTGATGTGCTGTGATGTGATGTGATGTGATGGGCCCTTGAGGCAGCACGACAACAAAGCGACTCACTGACTGACTGACAGACAGACAGAAATCTCAGTTGCTCTCAAAGGTGTTTCTGTCGCTCCCAAAAAAGATCTTGGCGAACGAAAGTTACGGGGGCCCCGTGCCCCAAAAATGAAGTGAGGCTGAAGTTTATTTATTGTTCGGTATTCGGTTCGATTGGTTTGACAAGTTGATTGGCAAAACTCAGCCGAAAACTCCCACGCCTTCACACAACAAAAAATGTTTAGATATCTTTCTCGTGGTATTTTTTGTGTGCCTGTGACACATTTCTCGATTGGCAGTTGGCAGTTGGCTGGAGATTGAAGAGCTCTTCTTGCCGCTTGCCGCTTGCCTCTTGCCACCTGCAGCTGCAGCAACCTTTTCAACTTTTACTTTTTCCACTCCATCTTCTTCTGTTAATTGCTTCATCCGTCCCTCTCGCTCTCTTTCTATCCATCTTGCAGTCCCACCGTCAGATATATTTTTCCCAGACTCGCGGAAGCAGTCGACGGGCCGAGCCGCGGCGCTTCGCTTATGTAAAATTAATAAGACATAAAATAAATTTCGAATTATGCGCATAAAACAAACATCATCAGAAACCGATTTTTGGTCATCTTCTTTGGTGTTTTCTTCTCTTTCTTCGCATCGCTTCTCGCCCCTTCTCGTCTCGTTAATCGTTTAAAGCGAAACGCGAAACGCAAAGTAAAAGTGTTTCATTTTGATTGCTCTCCCGCTGTCTCCGGGCCATGCCTCAGGGCATTTGGCTTTTGGCTTTTGGCTTCGCTGCCATGCGATGCGATCTTGATATTCATTTGGAAATTGAAATTCGAGTCGCTAATTGATCTTTTAAACCGGGTGCCCAGCCCTGTCCCTGTCCCTGTCCCTGTCCCTAACCGGGTTGAGCTTTTCTCATTATGCTAATAGATTGAATCGATGTTAAAAGTGCCCCATAGAGCGGTTCCCCAATGCGAGTGCACAAATCACTTGGGTTTTCGGGCTCTTTGTGCGATTCTATCGGATCTTCAGCTGCTTTCACTTGCTCCGATTATCACCAGTTGATAATGTACTAAATAATTCATTCAAAATCTATGTATGTATATTCAAAGTGAATATCGATTATCGGCATAATATATTTCGATTGTTGTTGCATGAACTTTGGGTTCTTAGAGTAGAAGGTCCAGTTCTGGACTTCGCATATTCTTCACAATTTCTTTCTCAATTTCGCCAAACACTCTTAATTCTCATTGGATACAGTTTGCTTTCCTTGCAATGCACCTCAAGTTGCCTGCTTTTGCCTGGTGCAAGTTGCTCGAAAGTTGATGGACCGCTCGCTCGTTGGCCCTTTTTCCCAGTCTTGTCGTTTATCTGGCTCGTTGAAAGCCAAAACCCAAAAATGGCTCCCAAATGCAATTTCATTTAATTAACTCTTCCCTGACAGTCTGCAGGGTGGACTGTGGACTGTGGACTACGGAGTGCGGCTTCTGGACAGTTGATTGAGCTGCTGCTGCGCTGCTGCTGCTGCTGCCGGGTTGGGGACCCTCTGGGAAGAGGCCTGGGGCTTGAATTTGAATGCAGCGAGAAACGATGACAACGTTGTCGACGACAACGACGAGGAAAGCGACCATAAAGTGCATCAAGAAGGCAGGGCCTTGGAAAACAAATATGAAATGTTCATTATCATTTTCATTTCCCTCTAAGAAACGACAAGAAAAGTAAAGAGTGGTGAAGAGTGGAGAATGGAGCGGGGGGGAGACCATGTGGAGTAGGCAAAAATGTGTATGTGTGTGTGTGTGTGTGTCTGTGTGTGTGTGTTTGTGTATCTGTCAGTACGTGTATCCCGTTATGTGCTCGTCGGTTCGGTTGTTTCTGTGTGTTGATTATCTTGTAAATTTGTTGCACGTTTTTGATGCAAATCCGCTTGTCATGTACAAGTGATGTCATCACCTGCTACAAGTGCAGATACAGATACAGATGTCAAACTAGATACTTGTAGAAGATACTCAGGTACAGCAGATACTCACAGTTTCGAAAGAAGCGACAAAAAGTTAATCTGTAAGCCAGGCAGGTGGCTGTCGGAAGGTGGTTTGGTTGGGCAGGGCAGGGCAGGTTTTGTTTTGCATTTGTATCTGCGTATCCGCATTTGTATCTGTAAGTCACAAGTGCTCTTGTGTCACAATTTGTAAGTGCAGCCTCAATGGCCAACAGAGAACAATGCGTCGATCGCGGTACGTGCACACACACACACACACACACATACATACATACGTGTACATACGTGTATCTGTGAGATACATCTGTGATGTAACCGACGACGCGGCATTACTTTTACCACGCTTCTTCTTCTTCTCTCTCTCTCTCTCTCTCTCTCTCTCTCTGTCTCTGTTTTATTTATTGGTTTTCGTTTCACTGGAATTTATCTCCCTCTTCTTCGGAGCTCTCTCTTTCTTCAAGGGGCCCCTGAATATATTTTTTTGTTGTATTTCGAGCAAAGTCTTTGGGTAAACAGGTCACTCTTCTCCCGCCGTTTGTTGCCGCTGCTGCTGCCGCTGCTGCTGCTGCTGCTGCTGCCTCCGTTTCTGGTAATCGGCCACTTTCCAGCCAGCGACGAGTGACCTCAATTAAACACATGCCACGCCCAGCCACGCCACACCACACCACACCGCATCACACCTGTACCCCCTGCTGCCGTACTGTCAGCCACCTTCATTCTGTTCGCGCATTGTTGGATGACCACAAAAATTGATGCCGCAACAGAAATACATTTTCGGGCACAGTTACAGCTAGTGAAAAGGGTAATAAAGGATGGGTGGATGGGGAGAGTCCCCCCCAACCATTGCCACAACGGGGGAGGGGGAATACATGACAAAGGAAAGGAGGTGTTTGCGACAAGGCATATGCAAAATTAAACCCATAAATAATGCCAGCAAGAAGCCCGACCGACCAATGCCATGCCACAAATATATGTACATATGTACATATATCTATGTATGTATACATATTCAATATGGATTAATTTCTGTATACCCTTTTTGGGACTAGGTAATTCGATTCATTCCTTAACTACAGCATCGTTTGTTTTAGCTCTGACGATTTTGTATTTGAGCTTCAATGCTCGTTGGATCAAGATTTTTAAACTATATTTTGAACTTGTAAAAATAGTAGTATTTATTGGCCAGCTGCTGCCTTCTCTCCCTGCTCGTTGGAAATCCTTTTTCCAACACTTTTCATTCCTTTTGAGAGACCTGTTTAAGCCTTCGGCTTCCTGCTATGTTTTCAATTATATTTTTCATATTTTTTTCCACTTACTTGATGTTTAGGCATGGAAGGTGTTCCTTTCTCCAATCGAGACCCTTTTTGTCTTTGCCTTTTGGCGCTTCGAATAACTGCATTTCACCTGTAAACTGGACCATTATTGCATATTCCATATGTATTTTTGTATATTTTACATATTACTTTTTAATTTGCATTTTTCGATATCAGTTTAGATATTTTTTTTTTTTTGGCAATTTGCTAAAACTCATTTATAACAAAAATGCTGTCTAACAAGTGCTAACTGCACAGGGCACACAGTGGATGGGCTTTGTTGATCCAGTTTTGTAGATGGTGTTGCTATTATTATTGCCATTTTTATTGCTTTGCGAGTAGTTGTAGCTAGTTTTGTTTTTGTTGTTCCACAAAACCAATATTTGGGCTCTCAGTAGGAGAATATCTCCTTCTCCTTCTCCTTCATGTTTTCGTTTTCATTTTCATTTTCGTTGTCCCTGTCGTTGTTTCGTTTGTGTTTTATGTTGATGTTGATGTTTGTGGAATATTTACACAAGTTATTTGCAGACAGCATGTAAATATGGAAATATTTAAATAAAATAATAGGATCACAAAAGCACCAGCCAGAATACATATGCATATGTACATAAATATGTACTCGAATGAAATTATATTTTTGAAAAATATATTTATGTATGTATGTATGTATTACTGGAATGTGTACATATGTATATGTACAATTGAATACCTCAAATGCAGCCAATAAATTCCAATCGAATTCGATGCTGCAGCAGTCAGTGAAAAGCTTAGTTATAATTGAATCTGCGGTGGTCGTCTAATTGCCATCTGCCATCTCTCAGATACCTGATGCGGGTGCCACCCGTCTGTCTTTTTAGTGTTGAAAGTAACTTTTGGCAGAGTTCTTTTGGTTGAAAGTCCATAGTTTTCCATTGCAATTTCAAGTGGAGGCTGGCAGAAGCTTTGGGTAGCTTTAAAGATGTTCTATTTTAAAGAAATATATTATAAAAATACGTCTATTCCGATCAAGGATACAATACTATAGTAATACTATCCTCCTCCTGCATGGGAGTGAAAATAAAAAGATTTAATCTGAAATGCGAAAGAGCTTTTGGGGCTAATGTCCAATGGCAGCTTGCCTCTTGTTTGTTTGCCAGGAATAAGATACAGACAGATACAGTGACAGAGTGGAAGTAGGAGTGGCAGTCTACACACGCATACAGACATTTAATACCAGTAGTTTTTAAGCCATAAAAGGATGGGTACTGGTGGTGGGACGCCAGCGCCATTGCCATTGCCATTACCATTGCCATGTGCCATGTGCCATGTGGCAGCGCAGCGCTGTGAAAAATATGCAAATAAGCTTTATTATTTGACAGTTTCTATAAAATGCAAAAGCCACAAAAGGCAGCAACAATGCCAGCCCGCAATGACGACGACGACGACTTCATCAACATCAATGAAAAGTTTCCACCGCCCTCCCCCTTCCAAGCGCACGTCTGGGAAAGGCGTTTTGGGGGTAGCCATAAGCAGGGCTCCGTATTCTGTGTTTTGCATTCCTCAAGCTTCAATCTTTCCCCAGCCGGCAGGCAGCAGCCAGCAACCTCCAGAGCGCACCCACATCGCTCTGGCTTATATGACAAAACTGAAATGCAATAAACAAGTTGACAACTCTGACAATTTGGACAAGAAAAACATGTTAAATGCTCAGAATTATGACAAGCGACGAGGAGTCGAAGCTCACCAGTCACAGACAGAGCAGCAGCAGGGACACAGAGATGCAGAGATACCGATCCCATAGTCGTAGCCATAGCCAT